ATTTTATTATAGATTAATAATTGTTTGATGTTCCAAAAGGGGAACCAAATTTTATATCTAAAAAAATTAAAAAATATATTTTCAATTTTTTTATCTATAAAATTTCCTTTGGCTTGGTTAGTTAAAATGTGTAATTTTTGCCTTATAGATTTCTTAAAAATTTCAAATTTTGTTAGCGAAAAAGATTCTTCAGTAGCGACTTTAGGAATGAAAGGAAAATTGTATGAGATCTTTATTTATTTTTTAATCTTTTGGTTTCGACTTGAGTTAGCGTTTAGAAGGGAATAAAGAGACCCAAAATGATTTGCTAAAGACCTAAGGCATAGTCGTCTTACCATCAGGTTTTCCATCTACGTGCGATAAGTCAAGTGGTCACACGAGATGGTTGGGAACATATGCGGCTGTTAATCTTCAATTAATGAGGACATGATAAATTGCTGTACGGCTTTGGTGTCTCCCTTGGCTATGTAACTCATTTGCTTTTTTTAAAAAAAAGTATCGCACTAAAGCCACAACTACTTTCCTAAAATGTAACTTCCTAATTATAGCTACTTTTTCAAAAAATGGCGTGTCTATTATAATTTTTAAATGTAGCATTAGTAGCCTCTTTTTAAAAAATTATGTCCAAATTTTAAAATAAATATAATATTCCGGCCCAAATTATTATGTTTCTTTATAATCGTTAAATGAAATTTTTTATTCAAATATAAAATATTAATAATAAAATATCTTTTTATAGTAAAATAATATTCGTTAAATTACTTGATTTTAAAGAGAAAATATTTCTCTAAAGTTTTCATTTATCAAATCTTTTTTTAAAAAACCAAAGACATCATTTTGCAAGATTAAAATAATTTCAACAGGAAGAAATGGATGCGGAGAGAGTGGTTTTTATAAGAGGGAATTCTAATATTGTGAGATCTGATATTTATGATCTCAAAAAATTTATTATAAAAATAATTAATAATTAATTTTATCATTTTGTTTTACGTTATTTCGATTACTGAGTTCGATGATGATGACGTATACAATTCCTTAGCTAAATCTACGGATGAGTCCATTTCTGGATTATTCAAGTTCAATCTCTTAGTTTTAACCATGCCCAGATTTTCTGTAAAATAAAATAAAAATGGCAGGAGCCATAGCGGCAGAGCCATATTTTTATCGTCATATCACATATATATTAGATTGATAATTTCTAGCTTCATCATTAGTGTTTGTTAAATTTATCTAACTTTGAACTAACTATCTTTATTGTGACTTAGTCATTTTAGCCTAAAAAATTGAATTAACCTTCTAAGTATGAGGTCTCAACTTGAAGATTGATTTGAACAATTGACTAAAGTTAGGTAGTTCAACAACCACTAATCATTATTAAAGTTAGTTCTAAAATGGTCTCTGTCAGTATTCTAAATCACATATATATTATATTTTTAGTTCAACAACCACTAATCATTATTAAAGTTAGTTCTACAATGGTCTCTGTCAGTATTCTAAATCACATATATATTATATTTTTAGTTCAACAACCACTAATCATTATTAAAGTTAGTTCTACAACAGTCTCTGTCAGTATTCTAAATCACATATATATTATATTTTTAGTTCAACAACCACTAATCATTATTAAAGTTAGTTCTACAACAGTCTCTGTCAGTATTCTAAATCACACATATATATTTTTTTTTTTTCAAGATTTTTCAAATTCCACCTAAAATATAGGCAATTCCATATTAAAAAATTTATGTACCGGCCAAAAAAATATTATACTTTTTATATGTTTTTTTTTGATATCTTATGTTATGTCAGCCAAAAGAAAATGATTAAAATTTAAAAAAATATATGTAATTAAAAATTTATAAAGGTGAGAAAAAAAATATTTTTTTTATAGGAATAATATGAAATTAAAAAATATAAATTTTGTCCATGAAAAACTTGTAGTATTCGAGCAAGAAATTAAAAAATTTAATAATTTAAGCATTTTTAATTAATTAATAAATATATATATCTTTCTTTCTTTCTTTCTTTCTTTCTTTCTTTCTTTCTTTCTTTCTTTCTTTCTTTCTTTCTTTCTTTCTTTCTTTCTTTCTTTCTTTCTTTCTTTCTTTCTTTCTTTCTTTCTTTCTTTCTTTCTTTCTTTCTTTCTTTCATTCTTTCTTTCTTTCTTTCTTTCTTTCCTAGAATGTGATATTTTTTTTTAAATTATTTTTTTATTGAGCACCATTTTTTAAAAATTTTAATACACTATAATATTTATTAAATATGTCCGCTAATTAAACTCGTAATTTAAAATTTTTATTAAATAACTCAATCAGAGACCTGCATGCCTGGCCCTAACGGCCCAACCGTTACTCGAGCCGGGTCGGGTCTAAAAAACACTTTTTAAATAACCGATCCGGCCAACCAAATATTTAGAGTCATATTTAACAGCTATAAAAATTGAAAAATAAATAAAATTGAAATTTATATTTTAAAATCCGAGCCATAGCCGGGCCTGAAAAAAACCCCGGGTGGGGCAGGTTCGCACCGTGTAAATGGTAACCACTGCAGGTCTCTGAGTTCTATAATAACCCTTTAATGTGATACAAAAATATGTTATATTAAAAATGAGTCAATTAACAACCGGAAATAGCTATAAAAAGTATATTTCTCAAAAAAAAAAATTTTTTAATAGATAGATACATCATGCTTACTCTTATTTCTGCTAAATCCTAAACTGAGACAAACGCTGGTTCAATAGATTTTTCAATTTTAAATATTGGCTCCTATAAGCCAAGAATCGTATATAAATTTTCAAAATATAAAGAAGATCGTAACATTTAGACATGGGTGGTCATTGGTGATCTCTGGGTTATGATGGCCTAGTATTTTCTAAAAAAAAAAAAAAAATTGGACATGTGTCTATCACAAATTTTGAAAAATAAAATAAATATATTTTTTTTTAAAAAAAAAAATTTTTTTGTTTTCAATTTGTTTGGTGGAATGATTTATAAAACTAGATTTTTTGAATCAGCTGTTATAATGCGAAAACTCGACATTATTCCTAATATCTCAAATTAATGTCGGGGCATAAAAATGATCTTTATTTCGGGTTGAGTTCCGGACAAATACCGGTTCGGGTCGTATTTAAATTTTTTAAGAATCCGGACCGGAAGCTCGGTCGTACAAATGGTACCTCTGCAAGTCTCTGGGATAAATAAAAGATTTCTGGGTGGCGTCTTTTTAATCGGTGTTGTTAAACGGGTCGGATTGACTATTTTTTTAAACCGGTTAACTCAATGTTTATTCGGATATGTAGGACCTAAGGATTTTCCTCACAGATGACAACAAGGGTTTGGACTTCTGTTAACGAAATCTCCTATTTTTTATATCACATAGTTTACTCTTCACAAATTCATTATTGTGCTTTTCCGGATAATGGCTTTTTGCGTTTTTATGATATGATAATATAGTATACAATTTGGTAAATGTTGCGATTGATTTTGCTCAACAACAAAGGTTTGGACATCTATTAACGAAATCCCGAATGCTTAGGGCCATATTTTTCTGGCTAAAATATTGTGTTAGAAATTTGACTTAAATCGTTGCAGTTTAACAACATGTATTTTAATATCATTGTTTTATTATTCTTTACAAAATCATTATTGTTTTTTATATAGTGCATCCAAAATTATTTGCGTTTTGAGTTTTATGATAATATAAGTAGTACAATTTGGTTAATTTTGCGATTTCTTCTATATTTAATAAAACTAAATAACGTAATATAATAAGCGCTTTTTTAGGATTTTAGTTTTGATTTAATTATTTTGCATAATTACCCCGTTTTAAAAAAATAAAAAAAAATTAAATTAAATAAATTACTAAATATTATTGTTTTAATAATATGATTTAAGCCTTAAAAACTTATATTTAAAATGGAATAACTCTTGGGTCCGGTATTCGTCACAGTCTATGGACTTATACAAATATTTAGGGAGTATAATGTCTATCTGTGAAATAAAATTTGGAAGATAAAAAAAAAATAATATCTGTTTTCCCTTTTTATAGGCCATTTCCTGTTTTCAAATTCCCGCATTTCTATTTCATGTTATCTATTTCCGGTTTTCTATGTCATATTAAAGGGCAATTATAGAGGCTATATAATAAATTTTTAAATTATGGTTTTAGATTAATCATTTTTTTTTTGAGATATTTAAAATTAAATAAAGTGAATTTTCAAATTTTTGGCTTTTTTATATCATAAAATAAGCTTATTTGAAAAGTACAATTTTCACATTTTTATTAGTTAGTGTAATAAGCTTAACCAACATACATTAAGGATAGGAAATTCGATTAATTTTAAATTATTTACTGGGAATCGATCTTTTTCAATATTTGATAATATTCTGATTAACTAAAAAGCATCTTCAAAATATCCAAAATTAAGAAATAACTGAGACCAAACTAATAATCTTTTTAAGACTTTTTCAATGTAAATTTTTAGGGAAAATATTTAAAATTTACTTAAATATATTTCAGCCATCTCTATAATATCAACCAATATGAATTTCAGATAATACTAATGCTAATTTTATTAGAAAAATATTTAAAACTTATACTTAAATATATTTTCAGCTCATCTCTACAATATCTATCGATAAAAACTTTCAGAGACTAAAACTATTCAGAATCTTTATAGACTTTTTTCAATGTAAATTTTCAGGGAAATATTTATTACTTATTAAAAAAAATTCACTCATTAATCAAGCAGGAATTCCATTTTTCCCTATTGAAAAATAATATAATATTTTTATAAAAGCAAATAAAAAAAATATTTAAGAACAAATAAATGACAAATTTGTTTTATTAAATAGTCACTGGCCAAAAATTTGTATTTTTAACCTTGTTATCTTACCTTGGCTAAGTTTTACCTTAAATTAATAAATCATTATTTATCGGACTCATGATACGAAATTTCTTATATATAAGGATATTATAAATATTATAATAGTATATTTTGTAGTTTTATCTATATTTTTTTGGTAATTTATTAATTATAATTTTTAAAGAAATCGTAAAAGAAATTCAATTTTTTTTTGAATATCTAGATATTTTGATATTTAATACCTTAAAAAATTCATTCGATGACCTATTTTAATAACAAGTAATCTTGTATATATTCTTTTCTTTATAGTAATTTCCCTTTTAATTTGTCTTTGGTTATGTTATATTTTTAACTAGCCGTCTACAACGGATAGCGTAAAAGAAAAATTTTAAACAACGGGTGGATGGGTGGATGTTCTCTATGCATTTTATAATTTCCTAATTTAATAACAGATATCTATCATTACGAATATTATTATAAAAAATATTTGATTAGGCTTAATAGGATAATCAGTGCGACTCCGCTTGGAAAGAAAACTCAAAGAAGTCTAATAAAGTTAGTGTCCTCTTTCTTGGCGTTATCCGTTGTGGTATCATTTTATAAATTCCGTTTTTCGGTCCACCAATTCTACTATAAAAATGCATCGAAAATGTCGCATTTCAATGGTAACCTTTATGGAGATAACCCCAGTGATGACGACAACGAATGCCTAAAACAGCTGATGTCCAATTATACCATGTTAAACGGAATTTTCTTGGCAAAAAATGCATCGCGAAAAAATCTCCCTCAGGATTTCGAATATCTGATCAACCCGGAAAACACGTGTTACGAATACGTGACAAATATAAATTCATCGAATCCGCATGCGCAAAAAAATTTGAAAGTACCGAAAGACATATTTATCATAATAATGATTCATTCAGCCCCGGACCATAACAATTTAAGAGAATCGACAAGAGAAACATGGGGCTCCATTAAGGATTACTATAACTATAATCTTCGTCTGATATTTGTATTAGGAGTCACCGAGAATCAATCTATTCAAGAACAGCTAACCAATGAGAGTAAAATTTACGGCGATATAGTTCAAGCCTCATTCTTGGATGCGTACGTTAATATGTCTTACAAAATGTCGATGGGTTTCAAGTGGATTTCGTATTATTGTCCTCATGCCGAATTCATCCTCAAAATGGACGACGACATTTACGCAGATATTTTTCAGGTCATCACAACTGTGCACTATTTCAAAAAAACTTATGGATCGTATCTGATTGACAACATGGACAGAATTAGACCGAAAGAAAAGTTACTGCCATATATATATAATCAAACAGAATACATTCTTATCGAAAATTTGGATTACATCATTAGTGGTTCTCAGCTTCGTGAAAGGTTAATGCATCAAACAACGACACCAAAACCTTTTATCAACGAGACAATTATTCCGATAAGCCACACTCAGGGCCATATGCGCTGCGATGAAAAGGCGTACACTATGTTAGAAACGGATCCGCACATCTCCGCCGAGTATACGAAATTATTTGGAAGCGAAAACCGTATACGCGACATCATCATATGCTCCATCATGGTTAACTCCCCGGTTTTACGCGACAACAGTTCTAAATGGTACGTCCCTACAAATGACTATGCGGGAACTTTTTACGAACCCTATTGTTCGGGGTGGGTTCTGATATTGACCCCACCTACCGCTTACAAATTGCACAAGGCCTATTTTACCCAACCATATTTATTCGTAGATGATGCTCACGTGACAGGTAAATTAGCGAGAATGGCTGGCACCGTAATGGTCACGATTCATGACACAGTTCATCTGGAAGATAACTTCGAATGGGTTAAAGCGGAACGATTTAGTTTTGTGACCGCTAAACCGATAGGAACCGCCGCGTCTGTCAAATACGTATTTTGCACCAATGATGGCGATAGAGAAAAAATTAAATCTTATTGGAATCAAACGCTGATCGCGCACAATCGCTACGGACAATTTTTATCCAATAAATGAATTGCATTTGCTATTACCCCCCCCCCCAAAAAAAAAATCTTAAAATTTACTTTTCTTTAGTTTCAGTCATATTTTTGATAACAAATGTTCCGAGTTGCTTGTTGGATAATTCCGTCAAAAAAATACATAGCTGACGAAAAGTAAAAAAATGGGCGTATGGGAAAAATACTAAATTTTCCAAGTGGATGATTATGTTTTATAAGATTAAAAAAAAAATTAGCTATTCACTACCTATTTTATAGACGAATAAATTAATCAGAAAATGTTTTCGATATTAATATATAGTAAATTCGTTCAGATAAATACATCAAACAAATTATATTATCTAAATTCATAGAGTCAATTTTTTTATATGATTTTATGTGTCTTATCATACATAGCTATATCTTATTTACTAGTGTTGTTAAAACGGCTCGTTTATTTTTAAAAACGGCTAACTGAATATTTCATCCAGAAAAACATATTAGGCAATCCTGAAGATTTTGCTCATAGAAGAAAACGAAGGACTCTAGACAAATATTGACGAATTCTCGAGGCTTAGGCGATATTTTTCTAGCTAATCAGCTCAAAACGAGTCATTTAACAAAACTACCTTATTACATACATACTATAAATGGGATACTTCAATAGGCCCAAAAACTATTCAAAATGAAATATCAAAATTATATGAAGTTATATGTATGTATATTGCGTTCAACCTTTTCTTTTTTCGTTCTTCTGTTTTCTTTTTTTTCTTCTAATTGTCATCTCAATAAGAGAAGAGAAGAGAAGAGAAGAGAAGAGAAGAAGAGAAGAGAAGAGAAGAGAAGAGAAGAGAAGAGAAGAGAAGAGAAGAGAAGAGAAGAAGAAGAAGAAGAAGAGAAGAGAAGAGAAGAGAAGAGAAGAGAAGAGAAGAGAAGAGAAGAGAAGAAGAGAAGAGAAGAGAGAAGAAGAGAAGAGAAGAGAAGAAGAGAAGAGAAGAGAGAGAAGAAGAGAAGAGAAGAGAGAAGAAGAGAAGAGAAGAAGAAGAGAAGAAGAAGAGAAGAGAAGAAGAAGAGAAGAGAAGAGAAGAGAAGAGAAGAGAGAAGAAGAGAGAAGAAGAGAAGAGAGGAGAAGAGAAGAAGAGAGAAGAGAAGAGAAGAGAAGAGAGAAGAAGAGAAGAGAGAAGAAGAAGAAGAGAAGAGAAGAGAAGAGAAGAGAAGAGAGAAGAAGAGAAGAGAAGAAGAAGAGAAGAGAAGAGAAGAGAGAAGAAGAGAAGAAGAAGAAGAGAGAAGAGAAGAGAAGAGAAGAGAAGAGAAGAGAAGAGAGAAGAAGAAGAAGAGAAGAGAAGAGAGAAGAAGAGAAGAGAGAAGAAGAGAAGAGAAGAAGAGAGAAGAAGAAGAAGAAGAGAAGAGAAGAGAAGAGAAGAGAAGAGAAGAAAGAGAAGAGAAGAGAAGAGATAAGTTTTCAAATTCGTACATGCATTGACGTTGGCCAATGGTGGAAGGGGAGGTAAGGAATTTCCTCGTTATAAACTTTGTGAAGTTTCCCTAAATGTAGTTAATTTTGAAAGTAAAATAAAAATTATTACTTAACCCCCCCCCCCCCCGTAATCCCCATTGCTACCATCCACCTCCCACTCCCCACCCCCACCCATAAAAACGGGAAAAATATAATAAATAATAATTTTTTTTTTATATAATACAAGGACTTCGACGAAAGAGAGTTTACTGTTTATCTAACACCCATGAGTTTCTTTATCTATGTCCGGTCATCAAGGCACTGAAATAAATGGGGCCCCTAAGCATATTTTTTGGATTAGAAAATGTCTCGATTAACCATAAGCGGCTATCTGTACAGTTAAAGTAGCCCGCTGCTATACCTCTCTGAAAATGGTAACGATGGCGCCTCTACTTTTAAGAGTAGAGCTTTTAACAATACTGACGTCTATCACTCATTAACTTATCATTTTGACAAATTTCTCCATAAAATTTATCAAGGTCGTTCTTTCTTTTTTTCTTTCTTTCTTTCTTTCTTTCTTTTCTTTCTTTTCTTTTCTTTCTTTTCTTTTCTTTCTTTCTTTATTTCTAAACTGTAACTGATATTTTTTCCATATTAATGACTATGACAAGATTGCATTATAATCTTGAATACTCCATAGTCCAGAAGAATATGAAAAGGGATATGGTTGACAAAATAGAGATTTAAATATCAGCGCTAAACTGGGGAGTGAGTTTAATAGTAATATAAATTCAATAAACCTTTCTTAACGTCCCAATATAATCGCTACATACAAATAAAGGGACTCTAAGAAAAATTATCATCCGACTCATTCTAATTTCAATGACATTTGGAATGAGGTTCTATGATAGAATCACCCAAATATCCATCCGCAAAACAAGCGTCACCACCACGCGTAAGAAGCTAAACAAATATTTTGCAGATTTTGGATCTCACTAGAGCTTAAATTATGGGACGGATTAATATATTTCAGAGACCCGAAGGCCTGGCCCTAAATAGATTTATATTCAATTTTATTTTAATGGAAAAATTTATTATTATCATTATACGAAAAATCGTTCAAAGCGATTATGCGCTATCAATGTTCTATTCCAATACGCTTTCATGTTTGTTCTATTAGCGCCATTGGCATTAATCATATATTTAAATTTGGATGAGGAGTCCTTCATGGAACTCGGTGACTTTTCTTTTAGCCACGCTTCTAATGCGCCAACATCGTGATTAATCGTGTCTTCTATATTTATCATTAGAGCGCCGGTCATAGTGGCTAATTTACCGGTCACGTGAACGTCATCTATGAAGAAATATGGTTGGGTAAAATAGGCCTTGTAAAGTTTGTAAGCACTTGGAGGGGTCAGTATCATAACGGCACCCAAGCAGAAGGGCTCGTAATATGTTCCCAAGTAATCTTTGGTTGTCGTGGTCCATTTGTAACCCGGGTTACGCATAACTATCGAGTTAAACCTTATAGAACAAAGAATTATGTCTCTTAGACGTTTCTCATCTCCGAAGAGCTCTTTGTATTCCCTGAAAATATTCGAATCCGTGTCGAAGATGGTGTAGGATTTTCGATCACAAACTTTATCGTGAGTGGCGTTTAAGGAGGTCATTTTCTTATCTGTGAACGAATTCGATGTACGATTCGTAAATGCTTCACGCAACTTTAGGTCATTGATGACGTATTCAAAGGTTTCCACTGGAACAATGGTAGTCTGATTATATGTGTATGGTAATAACCTTTCTTTCCGTCTAATTTTGTCTATATTATGGATCAGGTAAGGGCCGTATGTTTTATCTAAGTAATCCAAAGTAGTGATGACCTGAAAAATATCGACATAGAAATCGTCGTCTAATTTAAGCACGAATTTAGCGTGAGGACAATAATATGAGATCCATTTAAATCCCGTCGTTATTTTGTAAGTCAGATTTCGGTACGCGTCTACGAATGAGGCTTGAACGATATCGCCGTAGATTTTACTCTCATTAGTTATACGCGCTATAATTGATTGGTCTTTAGTGGTTCCCAGAATAAATACGAGACGAATATTGTAATTGAAGTACTCCTTAACAGATCCATATGTTTCTCTTATGGATTCCCTCAGATCAAAATGGTTTAGAGCTGTGTGAATCATGGTTATGATAAATATATCTTTCGGTTTCTTGACTGTTGTTTTTTGCGAAAAACACATGTTTTCAGGGTTGATTAGAAATTCGAAGTCTTGAGGCAGGTCTTTCCATGATAAATTTTTTTCCAAGAAAAATCCGTTTAACATATTGTAATTGGACTTCAATCGTTTTAAACATTCGTCAACTTCCGGTTTAGAAAGCAAATTTCTAAAATTTTTTAGATAAATTCGATCGTCATATAACAATAGAACTAAATATAACATTAAACACGTGACCAATAAAGTGACTATAATTTTTTTCATTTTCCCCCAAATAAGAGGATGCCACTGATTATCTAATTTAACCCCTTATTGTATGTAGTTAACAAATATGCGTTATGCCGTAATTTAGTCTATTTTTAAAATTGACGTCATAATAATTGATTGTTGTCATTTTAATAATAATACGCTATTCAGTTGGTTATTTTTTAATAAATTGTCAAATCGTGACGCCTTAGCAAACTCGTACAATATATTTTTTTATAAAATTGGCTGAAATTTATGGGATATTTACTCTTATACATGTTAAGATAGTTAATTATGTTCAGAATATATAATTATATTTAGATTCAGCAATCTCCATTTTCAGGGTGAAATAATTTTATAGAATCGTTGTGTGTTTTTCAGTGATTATTTTATGGGTGCTCCTATGTTCCCCGTGTAATGATCCAACATACTATTATTACTAGTTTCGATATGTCAATTTATTTAACCGGAAAAATTAGATTTATTTAATCAACTCTAGATAAACATCACAATATTTTATTATTTACAATTCGGTCCTATTGAGCCCCAGTCTCCCGCTATTTATTTGAAGGGGGTAACTGTGGACCTATAAGTGCGTTTTACGATAATTAGTATGGCTCATCCAATGACATTGGGCTCATCTCAAATAAATTTTTTTAATTGAATTAAATATATTTTAAATTTAAAAAAAAAGTAAGATATGAATAAGCAGTATATTAAAGGTTAGAGAGAGATGAATTAGTTAAACTTAATATAGAATTAAAAAATAGTTATTAATAAAATCCTATCATTTTAACTAATAACCTACCTAATCTAAACAGGTCCCCATGATTCAGTTGCTGTAATAGCAAATTCCTTGAGTCATTAATAAATCTTTACCTTACCTCGCATCAAGCCTTACCATATGAAATGCGTGGCAATACATTTTAGCCACATTACTTCCTTCTTCCCCTTAAGTTAACAGATATATTGATAAAAGTTAAATAATTGCGTGTAACCTGTTCTTCATACTTTGTGGCAAGAGATTTGCAAACATATGTTCTAAAAAATGCATGATATCATCTAATATGGATTTAATCATAATTTAGTATTTTGCTGAATTTCTGGATTTGGGAGTTCCCCTGATGACCTGAA